ACACAACCCATCACAACATACAACACAAGCACATAACCCATCACAACCACAACATACAACACAAGCACACAACCCATCACAACATACAACACAAGCAGATAACCCATCACAACATACAACACAAACACACTACCCATCACAACTACAACATACAACACAAGCACACAACCCATCACAACTACAACATAAGCACACTACCCATCACAACCACAACATACAACACAAGCACACAACCCATCACAACATACAACACAAGCACACAACCCATCACAACATACAACACAAGCACACAACCCATCACAACATACAACACAAGCACACAACCCATCACAACATACAACACAAGCACACAACCCATCACAACATACAACACAAGCACACAACCCATCACAACATACAACACAAGCACACTACCCATCACAACATACAACACAAGCACACTACCCATCACAACATACAACACAAACACACAACCCATCACAACCACAACATACAACACAAGCACACAACCCATCACAACATACAACACAAGCACACAACCCATCACAACCACAACATACAACACAAGCACACAACCCATCACAACATACAACACAAGCACACAACCCATCACAACATACAACACAAACACACAACCCATCACAACTACAACATACAACACAAGCACATAACCCATCACAACTACAACACAAACACACTACCCATCACAACTACAACATACAACACAAGCACATAACCCATCACAACATACAACATACAACACAAGCACACAACCCATCACAACATACAACATACAACACAAGCACACAACCCATCACAACATACAACACAAGCACACAACCCATCACAACATACAACACAAGCACATAACCCATCACAACATACAACATACAACACAAGCACACAACCCATCACAACATACAACATACAACACAAGCACACAACCCATCACAACATACAACACAAGCACACAACCCATCACAACTACAACATACAACACAAGCACATAACCCATCACAACATACAACACAAGCACATAACCCATCACAACATACAACACAAGCACACAACCCATCACAACCACAACATACAACACAAACACACAACCCATCACAACTACAACATACAACACAAGCACACAACCCATCACAACATACAACACAAGCACACAACCCATCAGAAACATAAAACAAAAATTCAACAACCACAAGATCAGCCTCGTCCATCATATCTGGTAAAAATTGAAAACTGAGCAGCACAAGAATAAGGGTAACAAAAAATGACAGTTTAAAAGGAAATGATTTAGTGCTGTGTTCTGGCCGTGGTAAAAGATTGCTTTAGAAACAATTTGTGGCAGACAGAAATTTTCTAATCAGATTTCTATCAAATCATTCGAGTCGCGCACTAAAGCAAGGTGGCCTGAAGTAATGGCCACTGTACTTGGATGTTACACAGTTTGTGGGGAGGGGTCATCGAAATGTTTTAATATTAAATTGGCATTTTTACAGCCCTAAAAATGCTTACAAGAACTGCTCTACCAATCTCACACCATCTGTGTCGTGCTTTTTTCCCGTGTCACACCCATATTTGATATCTAAATGTAAGCTTCCATCTGTGTGTAATTGTGTCGGTCCATCTAAATGTAAGCTTCCATCTCTGTAATTTTTTCGGTCCATCTAAATGTAAGCTTCCATCTTTGTGTGCTTGTGTCGATCCATCTAAATGTAAGCTTCCATCTCTGTAATTGTGTCGGTCCATCTAAATGTAAGCTTCCATCTTTGTGTAATTGTGTCGGTCCATCTAAATGTAAGCTTCCATCTGTGTGTAATTGTGTCGGTCCATCTAAATGTAAGCTTCCATCTTTGTGTAATTGTGTCGATCCATCTAAATGTAAGCTTCCATCTCTGTAATTGTGTCGGTCCATCTAAATGTAAGCTTCCATCTTTGTAATTGTGTCGGTCCATCTAAATGTAAGCTTCCATCTTTGTGTAATTGTGTCGATCCATCTAAATGTAAGCTTCCATCTTTGTGTAATTGTGTCGGTCCATCTAAATGTAAGCTTCCATCTTTGTGTAATTGTGTCGGTCCATCTAAATGTAAGCTTCCATCTGTGTGTAATTGTGTCGGTCCATCTAAATGTAAGCTTCCATCTTTGTGTAATTGTGTCGATCCATCTAAATGTAAGCTTCCATCTCTGTAATTGTGTCGGTCCATCTAAATGTAAGCTTCCATCTTTGTGTAATTGTGTCGATCCATCTAAATGTAAGCTTCCATCTCTGTAATTGTGTCGGTCCATCTAAATGTAAGCTTCCATCTTTGTGTAATTGTGTCGATCCATCTAAATGTAAGCTTCCATCTCTGTAATTGTGTCGGTCCATCTAAATGTAAGCTTCCATCTTTGTGTAATTGTGTCGATCCATCTAAATGTAAGCTTCCATCTTTGTAATTGTGTCGGTCCATCTAAATGTAAGCTTCCATCTGTGTGTAATTGTGTCGATCCATCTAAATGTAAGCTTCCATCTCTGTAATTGTGTCGGTCCAACTAAATGTAAGCTTCCATCTTTGTGTAATTGTGTCGATCCATCTAAATGTAAGCTTCCATCTCTGTAATTGTGTCGGTCCATCTAAATGTAAGCTTCCATCTTTGTGTAATTGTGTCGATCCATCTAAATGTAAGCTTCCATCTTTGTAATTGTGTCGGTCCATCTAAATGTAAGCTTCCATCTGTGTGTAATTGTGTCGATCCATCTAAATGTAAGCTTCCATCTCTGTAATTGTGTCGGTCCATCTAAATGTAAGCTTCCATCTCTGTGTAATTGTGTCGGTCCATCTAAATGTAAGCTTCCATCTTTGTGTAATTGAGTCCGTTCATGTGAACAACCTGACCATATGTTGACCAGACTCTACAATAACCCCTGCCTCCAGCTTGTGGTTCCAACTCTGTTGTATCTCATCCTGAGTCACCACTGATCCTGAGTCACCACTTATCCTGACTGAATCACCACTGATCCTGAGTCACCACTGATCCTGACTGAATCACCACTGATCCTGACTGAGTCACCACTGATCCTGACTGAGTCAGAACTGATCTTGACTGAGTCACCACTGATCCTGACTGAGTCACCACTGATCCTGACTGAGTCACCACTGATCCTGACTGAGTCAGAACTGATCTTGACTGAGTCACCACTGATCCTGACTGAGTCACCACTGATCCTGACTGAGTCACCACTGATCCTGACTGAGTCAGAACTGATCTTGACTGAGTCACCACTGATCCTGACCGAGTCACCACTGATCCTGACTGAGTCACCACTGATCCTGACTGAGTCACCACTGATCCTGACTGAGTCAGAACTGATCTTGACTGAGTCACCACTGATCCTGACTGAGTCAGAACTGATCTTGACTGAGTCACCACTGATCCTGACTGAGTCACCACTGATCTTGACTGAGTCACCACTGATCCTGACTGAGTCACCACTGATCCTGACTGAGTCAGAACTGATCTTGACTGAGTCACCACTGATCCTGACTGAGTCACCACTGATCTTGACTGAGTCACCACTGATCCTGACTGAGTCACCACTGATCCTGACTGAGTCAGAACTGATCTTGACTGAGTCACCACTGATCCTGACTGAGTCACCACTGATCTTGACTGAGTCACCACTGATCCTGACTGAGTCACCACTGATCCTGACTGAGTCAGAACTGATCTTGACTGAGTCACCACTGATCCTGACTGAGTCACCACTGATCCTGACTGAGTCACCACTAATCCTGACTGAGTCACCACTAATCCTGACTGAGTCACCACTGATCCTGACTGAGTCACCACTGATCCTGACTGAGTCAGAACTGATCTTGACTGAGTCACCACTGATCCTGACTGAGTCACCACTGATCCTGACTGAGTCAGAACTGATCTTGACTGAGTCAGAACTGATCCTGACTGAGTCACCACTGATCCTGACTGAGTCACCACTGATCCTGACTGAGTCACCACTGATCCTGACTGAGTCAGAACTGATCTTGACTGAGTCACCACTGATCCTGACTGAGTCACCACTGATCCTGACTGAGTCACCACTGATCCTGACTGAGTCACCACTGATCCTGACTGAGTCACCACTGATCCTGACTGAGTCACCACTGATCCTGACTGAGTCACCACTGATCCTGACTGAGTCACCACTGATCCTGACTGAGTCACCACTGATCCTGACTGAGTCACCACTGATCCTGACTGAGTCACCACTGATCCTGACTGAGTCACCATGTTGTATCTGATCCAGACATTCTGCACATTGGACTTACAATGATGACCTACTATAAATGACTCAACAAATGTAAACAAACTGTCCCAACAATTGAACTCGCCTCCCCATCCCAAAGCGTTAATTAATATTAGATGATAGAATCTCTAATTAAATCACGTGACGTCAGCCCTGTACACAGCTTTGGCAACGAGCTAACGAGGCGCCTAAATAATTGCTTGGACAAAGCTTGTTAAATATTTGATAAGACGAATGTCTCAGTCGCTCTCTCGGTTTTAACTCATTCAAACTTCTGTCTCGCCCTAAATCAATAGCATTATTTACATAAGTGCATTGCTAGACGGCGGAAATGGACAGAGGGCAGACTGCACAATTTATATAGGTCATAGGCCAACAGCACAATTTGCATAGGTCATAGGCCAAACAGCACAATTTGCATAGGTCATAGGCCAACAGCACAATTTGCATAGGGACATATGACAGGCACCAAAGTTTACATGTGGGCTAATGACAGATATAGTCATATGGCATATACCATACAGCATAATAAAATGGCGGACATGAAAATACAAATTACCTAATGACTTGATGCTTTAAGATGACCTAATGACATGATCTACTATTGGTGACCTAATGACCTGATATACTATTGATGACCTAATGACCTGATCTACATTAGTGACCTAATGACCTGATCTACTATTGTTGTCTCTTCTACAGATCCCATCTACATCCGCGCCATGCCGACGGTCCTCAAGTTCCAGTGGTTCTGGTTTAACGTCAGTAGCAACGCAGCTTTTGTAGTGACCACTGGCTACTGGGCATTTATTGCTTTTGTCGCAAATGCACGTGAGTTTTTATTCTTGATTGATTACAGTGAAATCGATCTAATTATTTCATAATTAGGTTAAACCCCGAGGCGCGACAGACACCAGGGTGAAATGGCTTTGTCCCGCCATTGACTCGACGACTGGTCAGTAGATCAGCCACATGTTTCTCTGTACCATTATAGTCGTTGTGTGTGTGTGTGTGAACATCCAGTCCATCTTATTTTAACCTTTGATCTTTGTTTCTGTGAACATCCAGTCCATGTTATTTTAACCCTTCTTTCTGTGAACATCCAGTCCATCTTATTTTAACCTTTGTTTCTATGCTCTGACCTCTGACCCCGCTTTAATATTTCAGCCAACTTTAAAGTCATGATGGGCGATATGAAGAACATAATGCGTATGGTCGTTTTGTTGAAATGTTTTCTCTTACAGTTTTCTAGGGTTACTCTGTTGAGTTACTTTGTTGGGTTACTCTGTTGGGTTACTTTGTTGGGTTACTTTGTTGAGTTACTTTGTTGGGTTACTTTGTTGAGTTACTAAAGGTGAATAAAAGATATTCAGTACACCCACCATGGTTAGATACTAAACATGGAACACGGGAACATCGCTCACCGAAGAGCAATAAAAAAAACTACATCAACAGTTGCAGTCCCACAGGGGCCGCAACCAAATATTGTCTGTCTGACCACCATGTTATACCCACACTATTGTCTGTCTGACCACCACGTGATACCCACACTATTGTCTGTCTGACCACCATGCCATACTCCCACTATTGTCTGTCTGACCACCATGTGATACCCACACTATTGTCTGTCTGACCACCACGTGATACTCCCACTATTGTCTGTCTGACCACCATGTGATACCCACACTATTGTCTGTCTGACCACCATGTGATACTCCCACTATTGTCTGTCTGACCACCATGCCATACTCCCACTATTGTCTGTCTGACCACCATGTTATACCCACACTATTGTCTGTCTGACCACCATGCCATACTCCCACTATTGTCTGTCTGACCACCATGCCATACTCCCACTATTGTCTGTCTGACCACCACGTGATACTCCCACTATTGTCTGTCTGACCACCATGTGATACTCCCACTATTGTCTGTCTGACCACCATTTGATACTCCCACTATTGTCTGTCTGACCACCACGTGATACTCCCACTATTGTCTGTCTGACCACCACGTGATACTCCCACTATTGTCTGTCTGACCACCATGTGATACCCACACTATTGTCTGTCTGACCACCATGTGATACTCCCACTATTGTCTGTCTGACCACCATTTGATACTCCCACTATTGTCTGTCTGACCACCATGCCATACTCCCACTATTGTCTGTCTGACCACCACGTGATACTCCCACTATTGTCTGTCTGACCACCATTTGATACTCCCACTATTGTCTGTCTGACCACCACGTGATACTCCCACTATTGCCTGTCTGACCACCATGTGATACTCTCACTATTGTCTGTCTGACCACCATGTGATACTCCCACTATTGTCTGTCTGACCACCACGTGATACTCCCACTATTGTCTGTCTGACCACCACGTGATACTCCCACTATTGTCTGTCTGACCACCACGTGATACTCCCACTATTCCAGCCCTACTGACCAGCGACATGTCCAGGCTGAAGCACACTGCCAACAGCATCTATGTACTAGCCGATGTGCTGATCGTAGCCTCACCTGTCCGTGTGTACCACATGTTCTACACGGTGTTCCTGGGATCCCTCTATGTCGTCTTCAACGCTCTCTACTACATCAACAATGGCAGTCTTATACTTCAGACGGTCGACTCTTCTAAAGGTAGGTCACCCTGCTGATGTACTGGGGACAGATTCTAAAGGTAGGTCACCCTGCTGATGTACTGGGGACAGATTCTAATCAACGCTCTCTACTACATCAACAATGGCAGTCTTATACTTCAGACGGTGGACTCTTCTAAAGGTAGGTCGTTCTGCTGATATACTGGGGACAGACTCTAAAGGTAGGTCACCCTGATGATATACTGGGGACAGATTCTAGGTCACCCTGCTGATATACTGGGGACAGATTCTAAAGGTAGGTCACCCTGCTGATATACTGGGGACAGATTCTAGGTCACCCTGCTAATATACTGGGGACAGATTCTAAAGGTAGGTCACCCTGCTGATATACTGGGGACAGATTCTAAAGGTAGGTCACCCTGCTGATATACTGGGGACAGATTCTAGGTCACCCTGCTGATATACTGGGGACAGATTCTAAAGGTAGGTCACCCTGCTGATATACTGGGGACAGATTCTAAAGGTAGGTCACCCTGCTGATATACTGGGGACAGATTCTAGGTCACCCTGCTGATATACTGGGGACAGATTCTAAAGGTAGGTCACCCTGCTGATATACTGGGGACAGATTCTAGGTCACCCTGCTGATATACTGGGGACAGATTCTAGGTCACCCTGCTGATGTACTGGGGATAGATTCTAAAGGTAGGCCACCCTGCTGATATACTGGGGATAAATTCTAAAGGTAGGTCACCCTGCTGATATACTGGGGACAGATTCTAGGTCACCCTGCTGATATACTGGGGATAGATTCTAAAGGTAGGCCACCCTGCTGATATACTGGGGATAGATTCTAAAGGTAGGTCACCCTGCTGATATACTGGGGACAGACTCTAAAGGTAGGTCACCCTGCTGATATACTGGGGACAGATTCTAAAGGTAGGTCACCCTGCTGATATACTGGGGACAGATTCTAAAGGTAGGTCACCCTGCTGATATACTGGGGACAGACTCTAAAGGTAGGTCACCCTGCTGATGTACTGGGGACAGATTCTAAAGGTAGGTCACCCTGCTGATATACTGGGGACAGATTCTAGGTCACCCTGCTGATATACTGGGGACAGACTCTAAAGGTAGGTCACCCTGCTGATATACTGGGGACAGATTCTAAAGGTAGGTCACCCTGCTGATATACTGGGGACAGACTCTAAAGGTAGGTCACCCTGCTGATGTACTGGGGACAGATTCTAAAGGTAGGTCACCCTGCTGATATACTGGGGACAGATTCTAAAGGTAGGTCACCCTGCTGATATACTGGGGACAGATTCTAAAGGTAGGTCACCCTGCTGATATACTGGGGACAGATTCTAAAGGTAGGTATTGTGTATTCATGGGGTCAGGGTTCACCCTATGTATTGTGTATTCATGGGGTCAGGGTTCACCCTATGTATTGTGTATTCATGGGGTCAGGGTTCACCTAATGTATTGTGTATTCATGGGGTCAGGGTTCACCCTATGTATTGTGTATTCATGGGGTCAGGGTTCACCCTGTATATTTTGTATTCATGGGGTCAGGGTTCACCCTATGTATTGTGTATTCATGGGGTCAGGGTTCACCCTATGTATTGTGTATTCATGGGGTCAGGGTTCACCTAATGTATTGTGTATTCATGGGGTCAGGGTTCACCCTATGTATTGTGTATTCATGGGGTCAGGGTTCACCCTGTATATTTTGTATTCATGGGGTCAGGGTTCACCCTATGTATTGTGTATTCATGGGGTCAGGGTTCACCTAATGTATTGTGTATTCATGGGGTCAGGGTTCACCCTATGTATTGTGTATTCATGGGGTCAGGGTTCACCCTATGTATTGTGTATTCATGGGGTCAGGGTTCACCCTATGTATTGTGTATTCATGGGGTCAGGGTTCACCTAATGTATTGTGTATTCATGGGGTCAGGGTTCACCCTATGTATTGTGTATTCATGGGGTCAGGGTTCACCCTATGTATTGTGTATTCATGGGGTCAGGGTTCACCCTATGTATTGTGTATTCATGGGGTCAGGGTTCTTCTAATGTCTTTCAACTTGTGTGCAACAGGTGGGCGTGGTTATTACTTCATGAACTGGTCCCAGCCGGTCGAGGCCATCTGCACGTGCATCCTGGGTATGATGCTGAGTATGCTCTCCCAGCTACTCCTGCACGGCCTCTACCACTTCCGGCTCTGGCTCCACGGGCGCCTGCACCCCGGGGGTCCGCTTGTAGACGCGGAGCTCCAGAACATCATCACGTCATCGGCTAGCTACAACTCTCTCAAGGAGAGCTACGGAGAGAAAGTTTTTCTAGGAAAGAGACAATAGGATTTTTTTATAATTATATCCATGTTATACAGATGCTACTACAAGTGCACAATTTCGTAATTAGGGGTTGTGACTAAATCTGCTTTAAAAATAACTGACGCCAGAGGACCTTCTTAATAGGACATATGGAGAGGATGTATGTTTCTGTGAAGTATCGACTAGTTAATGACATATGGAGAGGATGTATGTTTGTGTGAGGTATCGACTAGTTAATGACATATGGAGAGGATGTATGTTTGTGTGGAGTATCTACTAGTTAATGACATATGGAGAGGATATATGTTTGTGTGGAGTATCGACTAGTTAATGAGATATGGAGAGGATGTATGTTTGTGTGAAGTATCGACTAGTTAAAGACATATGGAGAGGATTATGTTTGTGTGATGTATCGACTAGTTAATGACATATTATGGAGAGGATGTATGTTTGTGTGAAGTATCGACTAGTTAAAGACATATGGAGAGGATGTATGTTTGTGTGGAGTATCGACTAGTTAATGACATATGGAGAGGATGTATGTTTGTGTGAAGTATCGACTAGTTAAAGACATATGGAGAGGATTATGTTTGTGTGATGTATCGACTAGTTAATGACATATTATGGAGAGGATGTATGTTTGTGTGAAGTATCGACTAGTTAAAGACATATGGAGAGGATGTATGTTTGTGTGGAGTATCGACTAGTTAATGACATATGGAGAGGATGTATGTTTGTGTGAGGTATCGACTAGTTAATGACATATGGAGAGGATGTATGTTTGTGTGAAGTATCTACTAGTTAATGACATATGGAGAGGATGTATGTTTGTGTGAAGTATCGACTAGTTAATGACATATGGAGAGGATTATGTTTGTGTAAAGTATCGACTAGTTAATGAGATATGGAGAGGATGTATGTTTGTGTGAAGTATCGACTAGTTAATGACATATGGAGAGGATGTATGTATGTGTGAAGTATCGACTAGTTAATGACATATGGAGAGGATTATGTTTGTGTAAAGTATCGACTAGTTAATGACATATGGAGAGGATGTATGTTTGTGTGGAGTATCGACTAGTTAATGACATATGGAGAGGATATATGTATGTGTGAAGTATCGACTAGTTAATGACATATGGAGAGGATGTATGTTTGTGTGAGGTATCGGCTTGTAGTGCAGCTGTTGAAGTGAGATGTACTCTTCACTGTGGACGTATAGGTAGGACTGGGGTGACTGGACAACATGCTGGTCAAGGTGGACATACAGGTAGGACTGGGGTGACTGGACAACATGCTGGTCAAGTCAAGGTGGACATACAGGTAGGACTGGGGTGACTGGACAACATGCTGGTCAAGGTGGACATACAGGTAGGACTGGGGTGACTGGACAACATGTTGGTCAAGGTGGACATACAGGTAGGACTGGGGTGACTGGACAACATGCTGGTCAAGGTGGACATACAGGTAGGACTGGGGTGACTGGACAACATGCTGGTCAAGGTGGACATACAGGTAGGACTGGGGTGACTGGACAACATGCTGGTCCAGTCAAGATGGACATACAGGTAGGACTGGGGTGACTGGACAACATGCTGGTCAAGTCAAGGTGGACATACATGTTGGACTAGGGTGACTGGACATCGTGCGGGTCATGGGGTAACAAGTACTGGGGGGTGGGGAATACAAGACTGTCAATAATAGAAGTGGTGTGAGTGTAAGGGCACATCAAGCAATGTCTGTCTGAATTAAACTGTGGATTGATCGAAAGTTATCCAACATATCAAATGCCTAGAGCCACTAGTAGTTTAGACAAAAAATGAATTTATCCCAATATTGTATAACAAAACTACAACTAGCGTCTGACCACTAGTAGTTTTGTGTGTGAGAGCTAGATATTAAGTGTTAGGGGGGGGGGGGGGGTGAGGTATGTGTCTGGTGCCAGTTTTGTGATGTGTGTGTTGGGGGGGGGGGAGGTAAGCTGAGTGTGTGGAGTGTGTGTGTTGACAGATAAAAGTGTATAAAACGAGAAGACCTGGGCTGAGTAGCGATCAGAGAACAGCACAATTTGCTTATGTGATATTATTTGATTCTTTCTTTCTATATTTCAATACATTTATCTGTCAACAATAAATTCATTACGTAAATATTGCTTCTTGTGTGTTGTGTTCATAATTGAATGAGTACCTCGTTAAAAGTTTTAAATGTTTAGTAAGTGAAAACCTTGTGGACCATAAATCTAAAAGTCGTCCGAATTTTCTAATGACGTTTTGTTTGGTTCTAGATCTAGTGGAAATGTGTACTGATTACGATACGGCTATACGCTATGAGAGACGGAGTGGCTTAGCGGTAGAGGGCTAGACTCTAGTTCGAATCCAGGTTCAAGTCAGTAGACCGTCCCTGTGTCCACCCAGCTCTGATGGGTACCTTACTTACGTTAGGGAAAGTAAAGGTTAGGGTCACAAAAACAAGTGAACTCTACTTTAAGTGCCTCATAGACCGTCAGGTTTGGAAGGGGGAACTTTACTACACGGTATATTTGGACTTGTCGCCCCCTTCACGTTTACTTAATTGGTCGCTGGTATCATCTACTTCTGGGTGAGTGGATGGACCATTCAACCAACCCCAGCTAGTGGATGGACCATTCAACCAACCCCAGCTAGTGGATGGACCATTCAACCAACCCCAGCCAGTGGATGAACAATTATAACGGATTCCTAAAAAATATCAGTTCGACAATGGGTGCCCTAAAATGCAACCAGATAAATTGCAAGGCATACATAGATCTGTTTTTTACTTAACTTAAAAGACGATCATATCATGTTCAGTCATCTCTACGCTTCCCCCCCCCCCCCCCCCCCACACACACACACACCGCAGCATGCCCACCGAAACGAAATAGAATGTATATAGATCTAGTGACTGCCCGGAAATGTTCAAGGCCATCCTCCGAAAGTTTCAGGTGACTTCAACCAACCCCCCCCCCCCCCTATCCCAATCACGGAGAAAATGTCTAAAACACTTATCGTGTTCATCGACGCAAGATGGAAGGTTTGTGCAACGTTACTTCTGTTTTTTTTTTATAAGTGCTACGTTTCTGAATCCGCATTAATATCGGCCTCCATGCCAACTAAGCTTAAATGTACAAAATGAACATTTTTTTTTAAAAACTACATAAGTAGGCATATTTTGTTTCCAGGCCTACTGCACAGAAAAGCTAAAAGTTAGTTTATCTTTGAAAGAGAAGTAATTAGGGTATTCCAAATTAAAATGTATATTCATAAGTTATTTCCCTTATTTTTCCATGCTAATATACAATTTACAACCCTAACCCTAAACCCCCCACCCCCCTCCCGAACGAAATGAAAATTATATACAAAATATTATATACTTTTTAACAGTGTCCGACCCCCGAAAATTTCAAGTGCCCCCCCCCCAGGAGAAAAAAAAAACCACTGATACTGCCTAGCTTCGCTTAGTTTTTCAAAAACATTTGAGAATTTGAATGCTTTAAAACGACTGATACTGCCTAGCTTCGCTTAGGTTTTCAAAAACATTTGAGAATTTGAATGCTTTAATTTATTAGTAATTGGCTGATATGTGGAGTGCTTACATTTAAACAGTAATGCTAATTTTAGAGAAATTGTTGTTGTTGTTTGTTGTTTATATTCCGTCTTTAGATGAATTGATGGGATGTTCGCAATTTATGACTCAAAAGGTAATTAGAACTACAGAAGTTCCCTGAACAGTATAACTCATAATTTACATTACATTGACTTTTAAAATTAACTTCTACAATTTAATTAGGATACATACCTTAATTTACAATTTAATTTTTTACTGAAACGAATGCTATACTTCGTCATTTTCTGTTTATGTTTAAAATAGTATTAAATTGTTTGAAAAATTATTATTTTTAAAAAGTTACCTCCCTTGTAAATTGAACGAATGATGTAGACTTTGTTTACTTTTTTACTTTCTCGTATACGAAGTATAGAGAGAGTATTGTAATCGTGCAAAAAAATCGACGTTTTACACCTGCCTGAGTTGGAAAAACATAGTTTTGCAATCTTGTCCGTATGTCTGTGTGTATGTATGTGTCTGTGTACCCGATAACATGAGTACCGTTACAGCTAGGTTGATGAAATTTCATATGTAAGTATTATATCGAATTTGTTGTTCTGTATCAACTTTTCAGCGATTTTCGCTAATGGAAGTGGAACTCATTCTACTTTTAACAAAATATGAATGCCTTCGTTTTAATGTACTGTGATATAGGGCTCCCAGCAACGGAAAAATGCGCATCCAAAAACTGCAATCCAGAAAACTGTACAAATGCAAACGTATATAGTTATATCCAGGGGCGGAACTACAGTGCCGCCAGACCCCGCAATGCGGGGGGGCCCACGACGTTTAGGGGCCCAATTCCGACCATAAAAAACAATGAATTTTCTTTTCATAAATAATGTTTTTCGTGCACCTTGATAGTGGTTTTGTAAAAAACAAACAGGTCTACTATAGCAGTGATTGTTCTACAGTAACTAACACACACTGTTGCGTAGAAAAATATAAAATCTACAAGAGCTCTGCTTTGAAAGTTAGGCAAACGTTCACACTACTTCCATGACTTACTGCCCTTCATTAAAACACAAGCGCCCATAAAGCTCATTTAAATAGTTTTGTACTATGTAAATTAAAGAGCCATTTATTCTCTTATTTATTATTTAAATGAGGCATACTAAAGAATTCTATAGCTATAAAAATGAATGTGTTCAAAACTAATAATATAAATACAAAAAATCATGAAAATAAACATAACGCGAGAAACCATTGCAAAATCAAGCTTACGTGTTTATATAATTTTGACCAGCCATCATTATTGTAGCAATTTTCGGCAACCATAAGACGTAATACAAACATTTGTAAAACACGATTATTACGGGCCCGAAATGAGTTCGGACTTATTGTTGACTTTGTTGTCTGGTTCGTTATCTCAGAGTGGTTATACATTGCTATAAAATTGATTAAAATACTCAGGTAATAGACTATTTAAAATTTAGAGGAGCGGGCTACTTATATATATGTATATATATATATATATATATATATATATATATATATATATATATATATATATATATATATATATATATATATATATATATATATATATATATATATATATATATATATATATATATATATATATATATATATATATATATATATATATATATATATATATATATATATATACATATATATATATACATATGGGGGGGGGCCCAAAAAATTTTTTTGCGGGGGAGCCTTTTTTTTCTAGTTCCGCCACTGGTTATATCCTACGAATACACTTTTAGTTATAATGAATATACTTCGTAGATATTGTTGATAAGCAGGGTGGGAGAGAAGCAGACATAAAAATAAGGACGGGCAAGGCAAGAGCAGTCTTCAACCAACTAAAAAATGTTTGGGGTTCTGGAGATTTAACCCTTGGAATAAAAATCCGGATCTTCAACACACTAGTAAAACTTGTTTTACTCTATGGAGCTGAGACATGGAGAATAACTGCTATAAATAAGAAGAAAATACAATCATTTATAAACGCATGTCTCAGAAAGATCCTGCGAATTCGCTGGCCTAAAACCATCAGAAATGATGTTCTATGGCAACGGACAAATCAACTGCCAGTTGAAGTAGAGATCCTCCAGAGAAAATGGAAATGGATTGGCCACACACTCATGAAGCGTGTATCCTGCATAACAAGACAGGCCCTAACCTGGAATCCACAAGGCAGGAGGAAGAGAGGCAGACCAAGAAAGACCTGGAGACGTGACCTGAAAGAAGACACCAAGAAGATTGGATACAACTGGGGACAGTTGGAGAGACTAGCCCTGGACAGAGACGTCTGGAAAGCTCTTGTCAGTGGCCTATGTCCCAGTAGGGACGACAGGCAAACATGACATGACATACTTCGTAGAATTTTAATACTCTATAGTTGCGTATTTTTCTGATCACCGTAGGCCCTATATACTAAATCCTTAAGATCTGCCTACAACTGCAAACAAAAATATTTAGTGCGAAAAACAGAAAACAAACAAGCTCTCACATCTGGTCGCTATGTTTAGCTTTTATTTATAAGCATACCTACATATTTTTAGAATTTCTGAAACGGATATTTAATTTTTTTAAGAGAGGTCTGTTTCATTTAATATATTGTGGTTGTTTTATTTTTACTGCAAATGGCAATACTATTATATTTTTAACGCTTTAGATATAGTTTGGGGTTAGGGCTAGACTTAAGGGTTAGGCTTAGCCATGGGTTCAGCTTACGGGGTAGGGCTATTGATAATCTACGAAAATAATATCAGTGAATTTTTTTTTTTCTGAACTAATATTAAGAATTTTAATTGAATTAATGAGATGTGTATCTTTTGACGTTCAAGTCTATAGTTTATCGAAGTGTTTTTGTTTTCCCTCAGACAATTTCGTCACACCGTAGAGGAAATATAGATCTACCCTCTCACATATTGTCTAGGAAACAAATAGGGTTTATTTCCTCTCAACCGAAAGATGATGAAAAATATATCATTAAACGGCAAAGAGAGGATCTAAATTCTAAGCAGAGTTTCTTCCAGGCATCTCTTCGGGGGGGCGAAGCCCCCCCGAAAATTTTTTACCGCCCCCCCGAACGAAATGAAATTTATATAATTTATATAGAAAATATATACTTTTAACAGTGTCCGCCCCCCCCGAAGAAAGTTTACCGCCCCCCCCCCCCCGAAGATTTCAAGTGCCCCCCCGGAGAAAAAAAGTCTGGAAGAAACACTGATTCTAAGCACGTTGTACATTTCCTCTATCGTTTGCCGAAATAAGCACTACGGCCATAGTCTCGCCAAAGAAGCTATTTTAGTGGTATTTATAATCTTTTTTTTTTGGTTGGGGAAAAATTTTTTTTTTTTAAATAATACAATTCTTGATTCTAGGCCTAGAATCTAGATCTAGATCTAGATTAGATCTAGATTCCCTAAAGCAAGACAAGAATCGCTGATATAATCTATTAATATTAATCAACAGATGCCCTTAAAATTTTAAAATAACTATGAACCTACTGATAATACTATACTTCATAATGACTTATATAATTTATTGTCATTATGATGATATTCTATATTTTAATACATACAGCAATCTTACTGAATTTAAATGTAACAGTAAATTTAACAAAAACTAAATACTACAATTTTTACAACGAACGACCCCTTTCAAGGACAACATGCGTAAGACCTCTAAACAAACGCCGACAAATTTAAGAACATACGGGCATTTCGCATCTAGGCGGGGAGGTAGCCATTTTTTGAGGTGAGATTGAGCAGGTGCCCATGGCAAATTATTAGTTTAAAAGGAGCATTTCGCTGTTTATCCTATAAAAACATTAAGTATTTTTGCAGGTTATTGCATTATCGTTTGTTTTTCAGGTGTAAATATTACGCTTCTAACAGAACACTTCGAAAATGGAGATGCGCCGTCCGTTTGATCCTTTGGCACACGAGTTGGATCCCAATTTCCGACTTACAAAATTTGCTGACCTAAAGGGATGAGGGTGTAAAGTCCCTCAAGAGGTTTTGCTCAAGCTTCTTGAGGGACTAACACAGGACAGCAATGCCCAGGATGCGGAACAGGCGCATTTCCAATACACGACACCATCACCTCGAATCGGTAAGTAAAATAATGTTGTATTTCTGTATCACTTTTCCCCAGACGTCCAGTTTCCTAAAAATTCCGATTTCCTAAATTATCACCACGGTTTTTGTTTTATTTTTTGTTCATTTTTGGCGAAGATTTCAGGAAAATTGTTATTATCGTCCATAACATTTTTGGCGACGTGAAACAATAAAGTTTTATTGATTAATTAATTATTTTTTTGTATAAAATATGCTCCCCTTCTGGCTAGAAAAATTAAATATGGCGGCCTACGAACAGTTTACACGGGCTATAATTACTAAAATGCCACGTGACCAGTTATGCCCCGCCCATTTGTTTTGTTTCTCTCCCCCCCCCCCCCCCCCCCTCAACTTTGCTAGACCTAAGCTAGCCTATTTCTTGAAGGCTGGTCTAGTTGATAAAGACAGGCCATCTGGTCTTCAGACCATGTGACCTCGATTTAGAGTTCTCCTGGTTCTAAATTTGTTGAAAATCTAGATCTAACACTGACTAAATACACCATTCAAAATCTTAGGCCTATCTGATAAAATGATTTAATGTTTATCCCTGATTACAGTGATTAGGAATTAGTAAGGGGGGGGGGGGGGGGTAGGCATTTTGATTTTCAATTTAAAACCTAGAGCCTACTTTAGTACTTAACAGTTCTCCCAAAATCAGTTAGATCCAGATGGTAGAATCTACTACAAATAAAACATGAGTGTAGGCTGCCTATTTAGTTTTAATCATTTTAACTTTGTAATTATACTGCTTGAATAAGTTTATTGTTAATTTTCTAACTTCTTTTAGCAGCCTACTCTTGATGTAGATTCTAGTATTGCAAATTAAATCAGAGTGTGTAAAAAGTTATGTAAAGTCTTGGGTGCAACAGCCAAAAATTTTCTAGAATTTAAATTATTTTAACATAAGCTATAGGCCTATTCATATAAGCCTTTTTTTTTTTTTTTATTATTGCTCTATTACCTAATAAAATAGTTAGGCCTATGTATATCAAACATTGCTTTGGAAATAATTTATACATAAAGGCCTACTCTTGTCCTTTTCAAAATGACTAAAAAAATAAATGATATTCTTAACAATTTCAGAACTTTTTGTGTTTGGCAACTTCATTACTACATTATGGTCTGTAGTCTTTATTTTTAACAATTTTCAGGAATTGGAATGGATTCATCAATCACCCCTCTGCGCCATGGCGGTCTGTCTTTGGTCCAAACTACAGATTTCTTCTATCCCTTGGTGGATGACCCTTACATGATGGTCTGACCTCTGATGTTTAAATTTGATATTAGACTTATCCTTACACTTTTCATTGCACCAGTTTTTATGTAGTTAGTATTTGATTCTAATGCTAGTTATTTGATATTTAATGTAACATTCTAAAGTTATTTAGCAGGAGATAGTAAAGCTCATTTTAATTCTACAAATATAACTTGACATTCAGGGTAAAATCACATGTGCTAACGTTCTTAGTGATTTGTATGCCATGGGGGTGACAGACTGTGACAACATGTTAATGTTGCTTAGCTGCAGTAACAAGATGACTGATAAAGAACGCGATGTCATCATTCCTATCATCATGCGAGGATTCAAGGTTGGTTTCATACTTTTATTTAATTTTTTCTTTTAAATAGCAGTTGAAATATTTTGCCTTAATAAATTCTGTTTTAATTAGTTTTTGGAATGTTAATGTAGGATGTGTTTAAACTAGATGTGGGGCTTGTTTAAAATATTGAGATGCGCTGTGTTAAATAGGTTTGTTTAAAGTGTTTATGTGGGATGTGTTTAAAATGTTGACGTGGGATGTGTTTAAAGATGGTTTGATTAAAATGTTGCTGTAGGGTTTGTTTAAAATGTTGCTGTAGGGTTTGTTTAAAATGTTGCTGTAGGGTTTGTTTAAAATGTTGCTGTAGGGTTTGTTTAAAATGTTGCTGTAGGGTTTGTTTAAAATGTTGCTGTAGGGTTTGTTTAAAATGTTGCTGTAGGGTTTGTTTAAAATGTTGCTGTAGGGTTTGTTTAAAATGTTGCTGTAGGGTTTGTTTAAAATGTTGCTGTAGGGTTTGTTTAAAATGTTGCTGTAGGGTTTGTTTAAAATGTTGCTGTAGGGTTTGTTTAAAATGTTGCTGTAGGGTTTGTTTAAAATGTTGCTGTAGGGTTTGTTTAAAATGTTGCTGTAGGGTTTGTTTAAAATGTTGCTGTAGGGTTTGTTTAAAATGTTGCTGTAGGGTTTGTTTAAAATGTTGCTGTAGGGTTTGTTTAAAATGTTGCTGTAGGGTTTGTTTAAAATGTTGCTGTAGGGTTTGTTTAAAATGTTGCTGTAGGGTTTGTTTAAAATGTTGCTGTAGGGTTTGTTTAAAATGTTGCTGTAGGGTTTGTTTAAAATGTTGCTGTAGGGTTTGTTTAAAATGTTGCTGTAGGGTTTGTTTAAAATGTTGTTGTAGGATGCCGCTGAAGAAGCTGGAACACAAGTGACAGGAGGACAGACTGTTGTCAACCCGTGGATGACAATTGGTGGTGTGGCTACCTCTGTGTGTCAGTCTAATGAGTACATCATGTGAGTGCTTGATTATTCTGGTGTGGCTACCTCTGTGTGTCAGTCTAATGAGTACATCATGTGAGTGCTTGATTATTCTGGTGTGGCTACCTCTGTGTGTCAGTCTAATGAGTACATCATGTGAGTGCTTGATTATTCTGGTGTGGCTACCTCTGTGTGTCAGTCTAATGAGTACATCATGTGAGTGCTTGATTATTCTGGTGTGGCTACCTCTGTGTGTCAGTCTAATGAGTACATCATGTGAGTGCTTGATTATTCTGGTGTGGCTACCTCTGTGTGTCAGTCTAATGAGTACATCATGTGAGTGCTTGATTATTCCTCTAACCTGGCTTCTGTCATGCTAGTTACATCAAACCCAGCTATAAGGCAGAGAGATTGTGGTAAAGATCTTTCTGTAAGAGAAGATGGGGACAGTAATTAAATTGAAATGTTGTCTAATGACATCTGTTAGGTGTTTGATCTATTTCAATACATTTCTCTACATGTTCAACTCTTATAGTAATATAGGCCTACACTTTTCTCACAATATATATATTTGACTCCCTTTATTATGTCAAACATGTTTCTCATTATTGTTAACATCTAGCCTGGGAGAACTTGTCTACATCTCATTGCTGGGGAATATGTTTTCTATTGCTTAATATTATCTAATTAATTTACAAGAATTAAATTTATTCTGTTGCCATTTTAAAGCTAAAATTAAGAAATGTTCTGTTTAACAGTTTACTTTTATAAACTAAACTAAAAGGTGTAGCACAAAAAATGCTGCATTTCTATCTTGTTCTTTGCTTATACTGATATCCAGCTGTTTCCCTGGTCTAATCTTTGAATACAAAACATCTTATTTAAAAAAAAATTTCGCTCATGGAAACTCCTTCAATATTTGTTCACATTTTACAGTAATTTATTGAGTACAAAATTAATATAACCCGTCAATAAGGCAGAGAAATTGTGGAAAAGATTTTTCTGTAAGAGAGACAGGGAATAGTAATAGTGCTGACTAATGGACATCATTAGATGCTCACTTGGTTCATCACACATTATTTTTCTAGATCTTTCTGCATTGAAATAAAGCCTGAACCCAGCTAAAAGGGATTGTGGTAAAAATCTTTTTGTAAGAGAAGTTGGTGATAGCAATGTGTTAGAGATTTGGTATAATAACATCCTGTTGATGCTACATGTCTCTCTGACCTCAACATGTTAGACTATAGCGCCACACTGTCAAGTGTACATTTACTTCTATTAAAACTTATCTCTTTTGTTTGTATTATTGATTGTAAATTTGTCCTCGCTTAGCTTGTAATTTTGGGAGTTGTTTTATTTGATGCTGAGCTGATGATATTCAGAGTGTATGTGTCTTAAGAGAGTACATTTGCTCCACATTTGTTCCAGGCCAGATAACGCAGTAGTTGGAGATGTGCTAGTGCTGACCAAACCCCTGGGAACACAAGTTGCAGTCAATGCCTATCAGTGGCTGGATCAGCCTGAACGATGGAACAGAGTCAAACTTGTGGTTTCTGAGGACGATGTCCGGAAGGCCTACCAGCGGGCAATGTTTAGTATGGCCCGCCTTAATAGAACAGGTTAGGACAGTCTTTAGTTAGCTGTCTCCATGTTGTCTTTGGTGCAGTCTGTTTCTTAAGTCAAACCCAGCTATAAGGCAGAGAGATTGTGGTAAAGATCTTTCTGTAAGAGAAGTTGGGGACAGCAATTTAATTGAAATGACTGTTTATGACATCTGTTTGATGTTTTGTATATTTCAATACATTTGTTTTGCATACCAAACTGACATGGAGAAATATTTGTCTTGTGCTTATAAAGTTCTGACAGATCTGTATCAAAATACTTACCAAAGTTTCAATGATCTTGTACATTTCTTTAAACTATCTACTTAGTTGTTTGTAATACAAGGACTCTGTAATATGACTCGCTATGGATACTTTATATGTAGTGCTATACATTCAATCAAAAAAATTTTTTTTATAAAAGTGAAATGTTAGAATTACATAGATCTATTGTTGTAAGTTAGTTTTAAAAAACATATATTTAAATGTTACATTGAACTAGGATTTAAATTTAGTATTACTTATTTACATCAAATAGCATACTGAAGCTAGTCCATAATGTTCAGCTATTTGACCCCTGGTCATGTAACTAAATATTGGAGCAGAAACTTTGCAAGCTACTGTTGACTTGGTTATGGCTGTCTCTCTTTTTTGTAAATGAATGTTACTTTTGTTGTCACAATTTGATTTGCATCTGGTCAACTTTTTTTCTGAACTCAGTATTTAGATCCCACAAATATATAGTAATACTTGAAAGTTCCTGTGTTTTCACCTTTCAGCTGCGAGACTAATGCACAAATACAATGCACATGGTGCCACAGATGTGACTGGCTTTGGGCTTCTAGGTCATGCTAACAACTTAGCCAAGATTCAGAAGAATGAAGTGGGTTTTGTCATACACAACCTGCCAGTGATTGCCAAGATGGCCGCCATCAGTAAAGCTTGTGGAAACTTATTTGGGTTGTTACAGGGAACATCAGCAGAGACGTCAGGTTGGTCTTACAGCATTGTTATGTTGGGCAATTCATTGTTGACTTGATTGATGCTTGTGTACCCACATACATATGACCATCATGTTACTTGACCACCATGTTTCTATTGTCACATAAAAAGCTATTCTTTCATAAATCTTTAAGATGTATAAATGAAAAATGGGACTCAGCAGAGTTATACTTTATAAAAGTAGGTACTCCAAACTGCCGAAAATCGAGGTTTCTGCTCATTTTCTTTACTTTTTCCCTACTTTCCATCACAAAGTTCTCCCATAAAAATTAAGCGTATACTAATAAAAATGGTATGGTTAGAAAGCTTAACTTAAGCTCTACAATAATGTGTTGTTTGTTTTTATATTTGTAAAGGAAGAATACGTGTTTTTGTAGCTTGAAAAACATCACCGCAACGATTTTTATCGGCAAAATGACAGACCCGTTTTTACCCCTATCGCATTCTGACGCTTTGCGCTTCGGCGCCACGTGACGTATGAATTCTAAACATAGCTTATCGTACGCAGGATTGAATGACCTTTAGTCTCGTATAAAATGTTAACAAATTATTTTAGTAAAAACGGTTTAATTCTCAAATTTTCTACGAAAAATTGAATTTTCACCAAAATCCACTAAGAATACAAATTTTCTCCTAGCATGGTTAGAAAGATCGTCCATTTTTCTATTTAAATGCTAAACTATCTTTACAATATCAAAGATGGCGTGAATGGCAAAGCGTGATAACGAAACCATGTGTAACTCCCGTTCGCCGACGCGATCACGAAATTTTTTACAAAGAAAATAAAAGCCGGCCCGGATCAGACCCCTGACGTGTTTGAATAGAAATCTATTTTTTCTTACGCATTATATCACAATAAAAACAGTTCAATATTAAAAAGAATACAATAAAATATTTAAGTATTTATAATTTAAAACTAAACTTTATCTGTAAAATTTGAATATATTTAGTAAAAGGTCACGCTGACCTAGTTTTTCGACCGGCAACGTTTCGAGAGAAAACTACAGAAAATTGCGATAACGCTAATAAGAACTGATTATCCGATTTAAAATGTCCAAACTATCTGCTAAATATATAATTCGATTAGTCTTTACAGTTATGGGTATACTTTATCACACTGTGTTTCTTTTTTCTTCATTTACGGGTTGTAATTTGCTAAAAATAAGTCTAAAATAGGTTGTCTATTTTTAATCTCGGCCCGATTTTAATCCTGAAATCGTGCATTTTTATTAACGTTTTTCAGCGAACTAACACTAAATTATTTCACTGAGAATGTTTCTTTTTAAATGTAGATTAACTGTAGTTACAAATAAATAACTTTTTCTATATATCTGTTAAGTTTTAGTAATTCTTTGTCAATTAAAAAAAACGGACTTAAAGCCGTGTTGAGGTATAAAATGTTCACCCCCACCTTATTTTATCAAATCTGGACATTTAACTGCATGATTTATAGCACTCAATTTAATTTACATAATTAGGTAACATTTTCCCCTTTAAATCGATATAAAGGTGATTATTGTGCATGCAATAGAAGAATTTTAGTGGTTTTGTGAAAGTTGGTGATTTTTTAGTTTTTTTTTCGCCCTGTCAAATTTTTGGTAAATATGGTGTAGTACGATTTTTAAGACAAAAAACGTTTATCTTTAACTTGTTATACTAGTTTGAAAAAAATTGAGACTACAATTTATCTACTCTTTTATTGGAATTAAGTTAGAGAATGGGTATAGCTGCTATAGTTTTTGAGATAATCGGTGCTAAAGTCGGGTCCTCATGAGGCCGTAAAAGGTAAAAAAAAAACGCGTGTTTCTTAAGCGCATAACTTTTTTTCTAATTGTCCTACAGACATACAGTTGGTATCCATGTTCTTAGAATTATTAGTACTATGCAGAAAAACCAAAGCCATTATTGTGTGACTGATTTGAAAAATCCATTTGGAGTACCTAATAAAAGTTAATGCTAGAAAGGACTGCCGCCTTTACAGACTTGGACCAAAGTCATGTAGCTGTTATAAAACAATGATGTCTTTTCTGAATTTAAAATTCTGGTCCAAAGTTTTTATCTGCTATTTTTCTATTGCTTATTTTTAGCATTAAGAAGTTGAAAAATATATTCAAAATATGTAGATTATTGGAAAAAATTGTGGAAATGTTCATTTGGTACCTTCTATACTGCTAATAATTTATCTACTAGGATTTCCGTTTTAAGCTACTTAATACTTACTCTACTATTGTCTCTAATTTACATTTAATTTTGGAATGTCAAAATAATCTTGATGGAACATAATTTCTTTTTTAAATTGAAAATAAATATTAAACCAAATCTATTTTCAGCTATTCTGGTTGCAATCATGCACCATTCACATAAACTAAAATTATTATTAATTGCAGTCAATCTTTTCACTGTTGAAGACATCCAATAAGCAAATATCTAGATAAAACATGCTTGAGGCTATTCTGTTCATTATTGCTATTATACATATAGTTGGTTAAGAACTATTTAAGTGAGAAGTGGTGTATACTGCACTTGAGCAGTTTTCCATTGCCTATCTTTCCTGTTACCTCTTTTGTTCTCTGTCAATAGATATGCTTGAAAAAGAATTTTTACCATTACTAATTGCCAGAAGCATATTTTTTTTTTTTTAAGAATCCCTTTTTCTCTGAAAACTAAGTAATTTCTTACTTGAATAAATAATCACTTAATATTTAGAGCATTAAATTAAGATTAATTTATATCAATATTGTATGGGTTTTAAAGAAACAGTTAGTTAGGTATGAGTAGTTTTGCAGCATAGGTACTTCAAAGGATTTGAGAGGAAATAAATAATTCCTGTGAAAAGAGTCAATAATTCTAGTCTTGTTAATGTTGAAATTTTTTTGTGTGAAATGACAAAATCTGTTCTAAGTAATAGTTGCAATTCAAAGGAGTGTTAGTGCTTAGAATAACAGAAACTTCTATTATTGAAGATCAATATTTTGAATATTATCTTGTACAATTAAGGGAGTGATTGCATTATTATTCTCTGCAGCAGCAAAAAGCAAATGAGTTGTCTTCACATGGTCTGGTCACATCACTGATAAAAATATGAAACTATCAATTTAAATTTTTCTTGTTTTTTATCTAGTACTATTGCAAATTTGCAGGGTTTTTAAATTGATTAAAGTATTTAACTATTTCAACCAAAATTTGAGAGTTGTCTCCCCTAGTTTAGTGTGTGGAAAGTTCCTGAAACTAGTGCAAGTAGCAAATTAGATAAGTCCTTTTGCACAAAAGCTACATATCAAAGCTAGTACACTCCAGTATTCTGAAATTCAACTCTATCTTCAGGTTTAGGAACTCATTTATCACTAATCTTTAGTGATATCTTGTGAATGCTATACCCATACTCATACAGAACTCTATCAAGACTTGTGACATAGATGTGAAAACTTAAAGCAAGCTTGAAAGATTTACTCATATGCCAACACCTATTTAAGTTTGTAACTGAGCTATGAAAATTTCAAACGTCCCCAGGTGGATTACTTGTGGCCCTGCCGAGAGAACAAGCTGCAGCATTTTGTAAAGACATAGAAAAACAGGAGGGCTATCAGTCCTGGATCATTGGCATTGTGGAGAAAGGAAACAGATCAGCAAGGATAATTGACAAACCTCGGGTCATTGAAGTCCCTGCTAAAGACAGAGAAGGGGAGCTATGGTAGTTGTTTGCTGGCCATGTATTGATGATAATCTGATATTTTGTTTGGTGTCATTTTGTATTTGTATTGATAATAATCTGATATTTACTATTCACTTTAAGTGTTCATCACATTATTATATACAGAGTTCTTTTGAAACAATTCCATTTCAGTCCAAAATCATTAACATAAACTATGTAGTGGTTCATGCTTTATATTTTTAAACTGGCCACATTTATTGTGTTGATATATATAAGCTACATATTTTATTGTTTTGCTTTGCTTTTGTTTGAGCTTGTAGTTTTTTATAAGGTCCATCAGAAGTCTACAGCAGGTTGTTGATTGAGGCAAATAGCTTCTCTACCACTGACCATCAACTGACCCAGGACTTTGGATTGTTAATGTTTGTCTTCAAAGCAACTGGTCAACATCTTGATACCAAATAAATTATTTTTGTCCCACGTTTTTGTGGTCCAAAGAATTTTACTACAGCAGTAGTATATATTGTTATATTTTATCACCTTTTAAATTGTCATCAATGGTAGTGAAGCTAAGACTCCGCCATTTCCTGTTTGCTGTGTCTAAGCCCTGAGCAAGCTTAGATGCTGCCCTGACAGGAAAGCGTCAGATTTAGGGACCTCATTCTCTGTTGGTTTACACCTTTCTCTATGAAAGCAGTAGGTTCCAATCCCATCTGGGGCAAATCTATTTGAGTGAAATCCTCTGAAAGGGGTAGACTTTTGTAGATCCTTTTTCTGACATCTATCATTTCATTGCAAGCCACACTATCATTTCATATGATCAATAAATGTTGGATTTTACTGTTTCTTTTAATTTTTTTTTAATATCAGTCTTGTCTTTCAATTTGTTTTATATTTATAGTAGTCACATAAGCATTATAATTACAACAACACATTAATAAACATAGTTTTTATGTATTTGAAGGAAATGTGGCTTTTATACCCAGAAAATAAATGTATGCAAGGAGAAAATTTTGTATCCAAAACAAAGTTCTATTGGAACAGGGAGCTACAAGGAAGACATGAGAAGTAAGGCTAGAAAGTCAGGGGCGCAATGATTAAGCAACTTTACAATGGTGTGACTAAAATTAAAATGTTTAAAACAAAACTAGTCCAGGTCATTGATGGACTAGAGCATGTACAAGCTACTTGGTCAGCTGGGGTGGTATTGCTAAAGTAAACAACACATCCAGCCTTACAGCACTGAACATCCACAGCAGCATTGCTCAGGGTAGTTGGGTGCATAGACTTTATGTTCATTTCCATAAACAAAAAAAGATGACATCATGTCTTCATAGGTGAAGCTCACCTCAGTGACTGGAACAATTTGAACCACGTGACGCTGGTTGGGAAACGGAAAATTAGTTACCTTCAGGATGGGCCAAAAAACAATTTCATAACTCAGAAGTGATAACATTTGAACAGAACCAAAATGATGCCAATAAAAGATATCAACATGAATATTAAGTGCCTAAAGTCTAATGACAAACAGGTAAAATGGTGACTCGTATTCTCACCTGCATCAAAATCCTCTCCGTGGGGAAGCTGCATGCATGTTTGTTGACGAGCGCGTGTGACGCTGTATTGATCTCTGTCTCCAGGAAGTGGCTGACAGGTGACACCCTGGGCAGGGATTCTTCAAACGCCACAAGTCCAGTCACACGGGTGATGAGGGAGTTGGGCAGGGCTGTCCTCTCTATGACGTGGTGGTCAGTATGGTTTGTCCTGTGTGTAGCACACACAATTTTAAAACTAACTGCTGAACTCATTGTTACAATTGTTAACCTTTGACACCAATGTCATGTCACTAAATAAGTGGACATCCTGAAAAAATTCTATAAAACGGCTAAACTGCTCCACCACAGTTCATGAGGTTGTAACACTGTACCAGGTTTCCTAGTGCAGTTCTGCTTCAGCTCACTAAAAGAAATATTTGCTGTAGTTTGTCACACTGTAGTTTGTCACATGTAACTAATGTATGTACAAATGAGGTATGGCTTTTTTGGATCTGGTCTCATTATTGTATGCTTTTTCTTGAATCTTTTGTTTATTACCGGTGGAAATCAGGTAAATATAAGGGGACGTTAACCTTAAGATGTTTTGGTTAAAGAATGCATAAATGATTTCATTGAGTATTTAATGTGTATTTTGGCCATATATTCGGCCTCAATATACCTATCTGTATCAATATACCTAGCTGTATCAATATACCTAGCTGTATCAATATACCTAGCTGTATCAATATACCTAGCTGTATCAATATACCTAGCTGTATCAATATACCTAGCTGTATCAATATACCTAGCTGTATCAATATACCTAGCTGTATCAATATGCCTAGCTGTATCAATATGCCTAGCTGTATCAATATACCTAGCTGTATCAATATACCTAGCTGTATCAATATACCTAGCTGTATCAATATACCTAGCTGTATCAATATACCTAGCTGTATCAATATACCTAGCTGTATCAATATACCTAGCTGTATCAATATGCCTAGCTGTATCAATATGCCTAGCTGTATCAATATGCCTAGCTGTATCAATATGCCTAGCTGTATCAATATACCTAGCTGTATCAATATACCTAGCTGTATCAATATACCTAGCTGTATCAATATACCTAGCTGTATCAATATACCTAGCTGTATCAATATACCTAGCTGTATCAATATACCTAGCTGTATCAATATATCTAGCTGTATCAATATACCTAGCTGTATCAGAGCCATAAAAAGCAACCATTGTTTTAATCAGATAATATATGGAATAAAGAACGGAAGTACCTACAGGCATACAGTAGACAGTCCACAGGAGTACCTACAGCAGTCCTAGTGCCTTATATTGGCACTAGCCATTGAACTTTAACCTCTGGCACTAACCATTGAACTTTAACCTCTGGCACTAACCATTGTATGTCAGCTGGCACTTACCATTGTACTGTGAGCTGGCACTTACCATTGTACTGTGAGCTGGCACTTACCATTGTACTGTCAGCTGGCACTTACCATTGGACTGTCAGCTGGCACTTACCATTGTACTGTGAGCTGGCACTTACCATTGGACTGTGAGCTGGCACTTACCATTGTACTGTGAGCTGGCACTTACCATTGTACTGTGAGCTGGCACTTACCATTGGACTGTCAGCTGGCACTTACCATTGTACTGTGAGCTGGCACTTACCATTGTACTGTCAGCTGGCACTTACCATTGGACTGTCAGCTGGCACTTACCATTGTACTGTCAGCTGGCACTTACCATTGGACTGTGAGCTGGCACTTACCATTGTACTGTGAGCTGGCACTTACCATTGTACTGTGAGCTGGCACTTACCATTGTACTGTGAGCTGGCACTTACCATTGTACTGTCAGCTGGCACTTACCATTGTACTGTGAGCTGGCACTTACCATTGTATGTCAGCTGGCACTTACCATTGTACTGTCAGCTGAGATTACCTCTGACACTTACCATTGTACTGTCAGCTGGCACTTACCATTGTATGTCAGCTGGCACTTACCATTGTACTGTCAGCTGGCACTTACCATTGTACTGTCAGCTGACACTTACCATTGTACTGTCAGCTGGCACTTACCATTGTACTATCAGCTGAGATTACCTCTGACACTTACCATTGTACTGTCAGCTGGCACTTACCATTGTACTGTGAGCTGGCACTTACCATTGTACTGTGAGCTGGCACTTACCATTGTACTGTGAGCTGGATGTACCATCTGAGGTTACCCCTGCCCTCACATTTAGTACAAACATTGTGGCCGGCACCATTACAAGAGTAGCACCTGCAACATACAAAAGTCAGGTGACTTACACCTAGCTGGCATTACAAGAGTAGCACCTGCAACATACAAGAGTAGCA